AGATTAATGCTCTAGTCAATGTTTTTTTCTGTTACCATGGATACATATAGGCCAAGTGACAAAGTTCAGTTTTTTCAGGCCAGTTCTGTTAAACTGTTCAAGGTAATTACCCCGTACTCAAAACTTTGTACAGGCATCAAGCTCGTACTCCAGTGCAAGTTCTGCTTTTCAATAGTTTATATGGAACAATTTAAAAGAACAATTAGAAATTAAACTTGTAATATCAATATATATTTATGATTATGTGTCTTTCTTTTAAACAATGGGGCACAGGGGATAATGTCACGCTTTGTGTTATCTTGTTTTTATTTTGCAATACAAGTGAATATTAACTATTCTAAATAAGATAAGGTATTCATGAATAATTCTGGCATTTTTAAAAGTCCATGTCGTCTATGTTGCTCATCATCTCTATGTAAAATTTTAAAAATGAAATTTTTGAAAAATCCTGAGAAATGATGCCATGCGACAACACAAATATTCTATTATGTTTCTATAAGAAATTTAATTATTGTTGAAATTAATTTTTTGATTGGTAAATGACTGAGATTTATGAGACTGCTAGTGAACTTTTATAAAGTGAAGAAATATATTCAAGATTATGTCTTTTATATCTATAAATTTACAGAATATAAGAGGCGTTCCATTTTGAGTACCCCTACCTGTTGAAATGTAAAGCTGAACCTGGCATGCCTTTTTATATTGTGCTTATAGACACAGGCACAGCTGATATGTGACCAAAGCAGGAAATAAAAAATAAGACAACTTCTACAATTTCCTTCAAAAAGTGTTCTAATTTGGGTATCATCACATTAACTAAAATACATGTTACCTGACCTATATTTGGTGGTACTGCATTGTGTAAAGGATTGCAGTAGAACAGAGTGATGCCATGATGTGGTTCCTGCTGACAAAGCTTGTCACCTGTGTTTATGGTAACAGACGCTATTGATTGCAGCTCTGTGATTTGTATAGATATATAACCGTGATCAGCTAACTCGCCAGACCTGAGAATCACCATTGATTTGCCTCTGTTGTGTGTTTCAGATTCCACAATTCTGAAGGACAACACTCATGTCCAGGAGTACAAATGATGAATGAAGCCCTGTTCTGAGACATAAATGTCCAGCTTGTGATGCCAAGGAAAATTTGGATCTGTCCAAAACCAGCACTGTATCGTATGTGATATATCGAGGCGGCATTGACTCTGATTCCATATTTAGTATTCTCACCAGGTTTTATATAAACTAATTCAGTTAACACTATAATCATTGAAAAATTGTTGAAAGTGGATGGTGCATCATAAGCACAGGTAAATGTGGTTTTGTTTTCAACATTATCTGCTGCCATGTTACAGTTTTGACACATACATGTATTATACCCATAGTGATCTTTGACTACTCAGAGCTCTTCCAGTCCTGACAAATGAAATATCACACTCCAGAACATGTAATGCTGGATAGAGAGATGAGGGGATCAAATTTGATTTTATCATGAAGTTGTGTTATGAGGTATTATTGGATGCTATGTCATAATTTGCCCGTAACTTGTTAACGGAGACCATTTGTGGGACCACTGTACAGGGACTTGGATGTGCGGTAAGTGTTGTCAACTTTGTATTGTTCATATATGTATGTATAGAAATGTTGACAAGACTAACAGCTTGTTAACAGTCAGAGGGTTAAAGATTGGCAAATATTTGTGATCATCATTAGAAGACTTAAAGTTACTGACATTTTTAATATGTCCATTATTTTATGTTCGGGGACTTACATTACTATTCCAAGTGAACACAGACCTGATAATAGATGGCAAATGCCAGAGCACTCCTGTTTAAACAATCACAAAATAATGAAGATGTTGTTAAAGCCTTTCATGTGCTGCTAAATCTGAAATATAAGCAAATATTACAAATATGAAATCTTAATCACATTCATTCTTTGTGACTTGCAGAAAATAAATAGTTCCATATACAAGAGCTAGTAGATAATGTCAGATACCTGAACAATACAGCAAAGAAATATGTATACTGAACACATTTTAATGACATAAACTTACATGAAGGTCAATTGTTGCTACCAGTGTATTGAAAGACTTAAGCAACTTCTTCTAATGATCAATAAAGCCTAGAGTACTTATTTGCTTTGTTACAGCTTGCTTCAAGAAATATCTGTTAGTTTTATATAAAAATGTACATGGTATAAAACCTGCACTTTCAAAATGTGTCAACATCCTTTAACAATTAAAGCGTTCTTTTAATAAAATCTGTTATACTTTAATCACCTATTTTAAACAGTTTCTTGAAATGCACTATCAAATGTTTTCCAATAAAATTGCCTTTATGCTCATTCTCATTTAATAATGAAGTGTCTGAGTGATACTGCTAGAATCTGATTGTATTTGGTACAACTCTGTACATGTTATGGCCTGTTGTGGGATATTGGATAAGGCAAATGTACATAAAGACATTTATACAGCTGCTTGTTACCAATCTCATTCATTCTGATAAATCTCTAGTGCCAAATTAACCATGAAATGTGATTGCTAGGTGACATGAGAAATTGACAGCCCATGAATCAATGTAGTAAATAGATTCAGTAAATAAGTTGTCCTGTTTTAGGACCATCCCACTTTCAATACAACTGGTACCACATCTTGTACATCATTCAGTGCAGATGTCCTGCCAGTGAGAGGGAAGGCAAAGCATGTTTAGTCAAGTGGTGCATCTGTTTGCTTTATTCCAATGAACAGTGTGTGCAGGCATTATGGACATAGCAATCGTGATGTATATCAGCTTCAATGCTCAGTATGGATGTTTGCAAATCTGTTCAGAAAAAGTGTTTTCTTTAATGTTTGTTTCTGGGCTGTGGGAGTACAGTACATTACACTAATTAAAGTGTTGGTGAACTGAGAACTGTATGAATAAGCACTAGACTGCACAGGAACTTTTGTGACTATTAAGTGTCTAGACCTTTATATATATATATATAAAACAGAGCGCACTTAGTCTTGTGTTGAGATGATGTATGATGTCTTGTTTCCACAAAGTAATTAAATGTTGTTGGTCTTATTTTCTCTTTGCCTGTTGACACAGTGGTGTATTTTATGTTTGTGTGTTGACACAGTGCTGTATTTTGTCTATGTATGCTGACATTGTGATATATTTTGTCTATGTGTGCTGACATTGTGATATATTTTGTCTATGTGTGCTGACATTGTGATATATTTTGTCTATGTGTGCTGACATTGTGATATATTTTGTCTATGTGTGCTGACATTGTGATATATTTTGTCTATGTGTGCTGACATTGTGATATATTTTGTCTATGTGTGTTGACATTGTGATATATTTTGTCTATGTGTGTTGACATTGTGATATATTTTGTCTATGTGTGTTGACATTGTGATATATTTTGTCTATAAGTGTTGAAATTGTGATATATTTTGTCTATGTGTGTTGACATTGTGATATATTTTGTCTATGTGTGTTGACATTGTGATATATTTTGTCTATGTGTGTTGACATTGTGATATATTTTGTCTATGTGTGTTGACATTGTGATATATTTTGTCTATAAGTGTTGAAATTGTGATATATTTTGTCTATGTGTGTTGACATTGTGATATATTTTGTCTATGTGTGTTGACATTGTGATATATTTTGTCTATGTGTGTTGACATTGTGATATATTTTGTCTATGTGTGCTGACATTGTGATATATTTTGTCTATGTGTGTTGACATTGTGATATATTTTGTCTATGTGTGTTGAAATTGTGATATATTTTGTCTATGTGTGTTGACATTGTGATATATTTTGGCTATGTGTGTTGACATTGTGATATATTTTGTCTATGTGTGTTGACATTGTGATATATTTTGTCTATAAGTGTTGAAATTATGATATATTTTGTCTATGTGTGTTGACATTGTGATATATTTTGTCTATGTGTGTTGACATTGTGATATATTTTGTCTATGTGTGTTGACATTGTGATATATTTTGTCTATGTGTGTTGACATTGTGATATATTTTGTCTATGTTTGTTGACATTGTGATATATTTTGTCTATAAGTGTTGAAATTGTGATATATTTTGTCTATGTGTGTTGACATTGTGATATATTTTGTCTATGTGTGTTGACATTGTGATATATTTTGTCTATGTGTGTTGACATTGTGATATATTTTGTCTATGTGTGCTGACATTGTGATATATTTTGTCTATGTTTGTTGACATTGTGATATATTTTGTCTATAAGTGTTGAAATTGTGATATATTTTGTCTATGTGTGTTGACATTGTGATACATTTTGTCTATGTGTGTTGACATTGTGATATATTTTGTCTATGTGTGCTGACATTGTGATATATTTTGTCTATGTTTGTTGACATTGTGATATATTTTGTCTATAAGTTGTGATATATTTTGTCTATGTGTGTTGACATTGTGATATATTTTGTCTATGTGTGTTGACATTGTGATATATTTTGTCTATGTGTGTTGACATTGTGATATATTTTGTCTATGTGTGCTGACATTGTGATATATTTTGTCTATGTGTGTTGACATTGTGATATATTTTGTCTATGTGTGTTGAAATTGTGATATATTTTGTCTATGTGTGTTGACATTGTGATATATTTTGGCTATGTGTGTTGACATTGTGATATATTTTGTCTACGTGTGTTGACATTGTGATATATCTTGTCTGTGTTGACATTATGATATATTTGTGGGACATTGGTTTATTTTCCCTGTACATGAAGTATAATATTGTGTATACTAGTTAAATTTTGCACTGATAGACAGAATTTAAAGGTTGAATTAAAATGGAATCAAGTGTGAAAACTACTTAAAACTTCTTAAGAATATTTTGCCTATGTGTATAAAATGTTGATTTTTCTCTTTTTTGCAGCTCTAGTTGGAAACACTAGTTGAAAAACAATGACGTGAAGATCAACAAGGATAAAGGTCAAGACATACATTCAAGCCTAGATATGGATCCAAGCGAAGGAGATGAGACAAGAAAGTGTTTTATTCCAAAAGTGGAAATGCGCACAGGAATATTTCGTGGCAGTAAAAACAAGAGTGTTAGTAATTCCTACACCGTTCCCAATACTTACACAGATTCCCAGGCATCAACTATACCTAATTACAATGCCACCTTCTTAGACCCTAAGACAACATATCAGACTTATGAGAAAGGAGACATAAGGACAACTATTCCACTGTCCAGACATGCCAGAAGTAGTGTGCAGGCACAGCTATATAACTTCCTGGAGAGACCCACTGGCTGGAAATGTTTCATCTACCATTTTACTGTGTAAGTATCTATAAAACAACAATATTTATTTGGAAATAACAGAATATTTTATTCATTGAAATGAATTTAATAATTTGAAATTTGTTTGACTGGAGATGTAAAACGTTTTTTTCCAGAACATCAAATGGATTGTTCCTACACACCTGGTCCATTTGATGATTTTATCGCCAATATGTATACATATCTTATTTGATGATCCTATTTGTCATGAGTTAGAGATACATTCCTGTTTCCCTCTATTTAATACCATCCTGTTTATTACTAGGTAAGCTGTACCATCCTTGATTCTTCTGTTAAAGATCTAATTTACATGCTTTAACATGTGTCACAAAATTAAAAACTTTCTGTATAAAGATGCCTTGATATAGGTCACAGTGTGATCTGTATAACAGATATCAGTGGTGAGGACAGACAGGGTGTGTGGTTACAGCGTTAGGTCACAGTGTGATCTGTATAACAGATATCAGTGGTGAGGACAGACAGGGTGTGTGGTTACAGTATTAGGTCACAGTGTGATCTGTATAACAGATATCAGTGGTGAGGACAGACAGGATGTGTGGTGACAGTATTAGGACACAGTGTGATCTGTATAACAGATATCAGGTGTAAGGACAGATAGGATGTGTGGTGACAGTATTAGGACACAGTGTGATCTGTATAACAGATATCAGGTGTAAGGACAGATAGGATGTGTGGTGACAGTATTAGGACACAGTGTGATCTGTATAACAGATATCAGTGGTAAGGACAGATAGGATGTGTGGTGACAGTATTAGGACACAGTGTGATCTGTATAACAGATATCAGGTGTAAGGACAGATAGGATGTGTGGTGACAGTATTAGGACACAGTGTGATCTGTATAACAGATATCAGTGGTAAGGACAGATAGGATGTGTGGTGACAGTATTAGGTCACAGTGTGATCTGTATAACAGATATCAGTGGTAAGGACAGATAGGATGTGTGGTGACAGTATTAGGACACAGTGTGATCTGTATAACAGATATCAGGTGTAAGGACAGATAGGATGTGTGGTTACAGTATTAGGACACAGTGTGATATGTATAACAGATATCAGGTGTAAGGACAGATAGGATGTGTGGTGACAGTATTAGGACACAGTGTGATCTGTATAACAGATATCAGTGGTAAGGAGGACAGACAGGGTGTGTGGTTACAGTATTAGGTCACAGTGTGATCTGTATAACAGATATCAGGGGTGAGGACAGACAGGGTGTGTGGTTACAGTATTAGGTCACAGTGTGATCTGTATAACAGATATCATTGGTGAGGACAGAAAAAATTCTGATAGTATCTATCATTAATGTTAATGTGAATGTTATTTGTATACATGATGAGATCAAATAACACTTAGGGAGGAGCAGTACTAAAAATGTTTTAAAAAATGGTGATTTTTTAAAAGTTTAAAATTGAAACCAAAAAATGCTGTTTTTGAAATGACATAATATTAGTTTGAAGCATATTTTTGTCATATTGTACCCATGTTTATCATCAATTAAAAAATGTGTAATAGATAGACGACTGAAAACTATCTTTTAAGTGATAGAGGTCAGATTATCATGATCTAGGTCACAAATGATAATCTGATTTTTGGGATTGATTTTTCTTTTTACCATACAGTTTTTAATGCTACTGACAGCTGGCAGAGCAAGCTTCAAGTTGGCATTGCAGTGGATTTTGGGTCACCAAGGACTAATTGTTATTGTTCTTTTACATTGGGGATAAACAATGTTGATCTATCATTTACAAATTGATGATTATATACGTCTGGTTTCTCAAGGCACACAATGTATGAATAACTATAAAAGGAACAGTATGACTTGTATATAATGTTTAATACTGTCTCTGTCACTCATTTGACAAAGCATGCTTCTTTGGCTCAGAATCCTGATCAGGGCACTCCACAGGAATGAACATTTGCATTTTCCCTGTTCTTTAACATTTGTACCCAACTTGGGGCCTCAGATTGATATTTTGGAAATCTGGTTTTGGTGGGAATTTCTATTTAGTTGAGTTGGAGAGTGTCCAGCTAGAGACTGAAGGGTTGCTAGTTCAAATCCCAGTGGTGGCAGGCTATTTCTCATTACTCCTTCCTACTGTAAAAGGAATAGGTCAAAGTGGTTTGTAAATACTAAGTGGCAGACCTGGGATTATCTTGCTGGAGACTCGTGTTTGATTCCTGGTTGGGACATGTGTCAGGAATACATGTTTTCCCAGTTTTTACAAACAGTAACAGATCTGGTGCTATTGAACACTCCAAGGTAGAAGCTATGGAAGATTGAGATAGTGAACATGGCTTGTTGTCTTAAGGATCAAAGACTTTGTGAAGGAGGAAGTAGTGTAGAAGTTGAGAGTTACTAGGCTTGGCTACTAGGAATTTCCCGCTAGTTAAGTGGTAGAGTTTCTAGTAAGAGACCAAGGGGTGGACACTAGTTCCAACCTAAGCATTGGCAGGGTATTTCCTATACCCCATAACATTTGTACATGTATGTAGTGTTAAATACAGTCTCTGTCACCCAGATGACAGAGATAGAGCATGCTTCCTTGGCTCAGCTGGTATCAAAGCTGGTAGATTATCACAAAGGAGACCCAGGTTCAATTCCTAGTTGGGGCACTCAATAGGAATGTGTATTTTCCTTTTTATTTCACAACCGTGATTCTGGTAATACATATACTTCTAGCGTAGACTGTTAAAGGCAGAGGCAAAAAGGACCTGTATCATGCTAAACATATAAAGGACCAATCTGGTAGTTCTATTAGACTGTATAATAGCTGTTCTCTGTGTGATTTACTGTTGGAGAAAGTCGGACAGACATCCGCTCACATCAGGGGTTTTCAGTAATGTAAAAACAATTTGCCAGGCTATACAATCAGGTGGGAACATATACGTGTTAGCACAATACTTATTGGTCTTTATAGTGACTGTTTGATTTGGTTTTTGAAAACATGGACCTGTAATGGAAAAGCAATCAAACTTTGTAATGAAAAGAAGAAATTACAACCAGTAACAATTGCAGGTGGTTGTAGTGTAATGCCCATCGTTGTGGGGGATGGGGCTTGGCTGTCAGGCAAAAGTAGAAACCTAATCTGGTTAAGGTCTTCCTGTGAATTGGCTACATGGTATGAACACCAATGAAATGAAGATACATTGAACATTCTGTAAGATCCAGCATGAAAATGAAAAAATGCAAAACCCAACTAACACAGTCAGCTCTTCATGCCAGCTAATTGTATTTGTTTGATCTGTTTTTTGAAATTGAATTGAATGATGTAATTTGTAACAAAACAGTGGTTAGCCATTTAGGATAAATGGCTTATACATGATATTTTTGTTTGCTTAAGCAAGATTTGAATTCATGCAAATTTTGCTTTTTTTTTTTAAATTTAGTCTTGGGAATCTCTTTCTGTCATGTCCATTAGTGTTTTTAATACTTGTTTTACAATATGTTCCTACAGTTTTTCTTCTACTTTGTGCTCTCTGGAAGGGTGTCTTGACAACTGTTCATGGTATCATTTCCATAATTTTTATTGTGAAATGCAAATGAAAGTCAACATTTTGTATCATCCACCCACTCTCACAGTATTCTTATTAACTGTGGTACTATAACAACAATCCGAGTGACCGCTATGTACTGTTTCACCACCAATTCAAAGGTAATTTGTCTAGAAAAAGAAGGTTGGTTTAACATTTTAAATCTTTCTCTGTTGACAAATGACCATCAAAGACTGTGGTTTGTGGTGACGTGGTCGAGGTGAAATTTATTTATGTTCTGATAATGGAGGGATTTCCAGCTTTCCTTTTAATTTCTTGATGGAATTTTTTAGCCAGCCTTATATCTAACATTACTAAACCAGGCCATTGTGGAATTGGTCACCAAGCTGTAATTATAAGTGGTCATATTGATTTTGCATGTTATCCTATGAAAGGAGACAGAAATGGTCCTTGAGCCATGGGAATTGACAAGTGTCATATTTCATTCTCCTGTTGAATGTGTAAGCCTACTTGACAGGAGTTAAGGTGAAGAGTATTACAACCCCATATCTATCATGTTACTGTATTCCCTGGTGGATGAAGTAATCAGCCAACATGGCTGTGATTGTGGCACCTGATGTGCCACAGCTTAAATTAACCTAAGACTGACTATCAAAAAGCCTGGCCCTTTTTGCAAGGTATATTTATGCTAACCTAAGAGTGACTATCAAAAAGCCTGGCCCTTTTTGTGAGGTATATTTATGCTAACCTAAGACTGACTATCAAAAGCCTGGCCCTTTTTGTGAGGTGTATTTATGCTAACCTAAGACTGACTATCAAAAAGCCTGGCCCTTTTTGTGAGGTGTATTTATGCTAACCTAAGACTGACTATCAAAAAGCCGGGCCCTTTTTGTGAGGTGTATTTATGCTAACCTAAGACTGACTATCAAAAAGCCTGACCCTTTTTGCGAGGTATATTTATGCTAACCTAAGACTGACTATCAAAGAGCCTGACCCTTTTTGCGAGGTATATTTATGCTAACCTAAGACTGACTATCAAAAAGCCTGGCCCTTTTTGCGAGGTATATTTATGCTAACCTAAGAATGACTATCAAAAAGCCTGACCCTTTTTGCGAGGTATATTTATGCTAAGAAGAAAATCTATATCCTTTTACACAACCATAGGTTTCACTTAGTGTTTTTGTTTGACAGACTTTCAATTTTGAAATATTAAGTAGCTCTATTTGTCCTTACACAAAAAAATAAGGCCTCTAATTTCCCTTGATTGACTTTTTTCCATTAGATTTGAATCCAGCTGTACTGTCTTTTTCTTAACAATTTCTCCTATGTCCAGTCCTCATATACTTACTTCAAAGACATACTCCCCCAAAACTTTCGAAAGTTTGAATTAGTACAGGGAGGTTATAATAACAGGATGTAATATTAAGATGAGGTCACCACTAAGAGATATCCATGAATTAAAGAAAGTAATCAGTATAAATTGGC